GTTCCTGCGAGAGCTGGTTGTTTATAGGACCCTGGCACCTTCTCTCTCTCTTGCTTCCTCTTGCCATGTGATCTCCTTGTACTCACCGGCTGCTGCCACTTTTCCACCATGAGTAGAAGCACCCTGAGGCCCATGCCAGATGCAACAGTCCCAGAATCGTAAGCCAAATAAACCTCTCTTCTTTATAAATCACCCAGTCTCAGGTATTTCTGTCATAGCAACACAAAATGGACTAATACAATGGATTTTAACAGGGAATGCCACATGTGACCAACAGTCAAATCAAGAAACAGGATATGGTCAGCCCCCCAAAGCTCCCCTCAACCCTCTTCCAGTCCCCCCAGCCCTACCTACAAGGTAACAATTACCTTGACTTCTCATAGCCTAGATTCATTTGGTTAGGCACTCGTTTTGATGATACTAACATTTCAGTAATAGATACGTTCTCATCTGTCTGGTTTTCCTTCTGGCAATTTTCTTCTTCCTTCCTGCTTTCCTTCTCTCCATGCAGCAAACCTTTATTGAGCGCCTATTGTATGCCAAGCTCCATTGCTAGGTCCCGGGGCTACAGTGGTGCCTTAGGAGATGCTTGTCTCTAGCCTCGTGAGATGGCTTGCTGGGAGTTTAAGATGGGTTACAGAGGAGATGGGAGGAAATGGGAGACAGTTCCATGTGTTTCCTCTGAAATAAGTAAAAAGGAAAATGATTTTGGTGAAAATGAGAATTCTGAAGTGGAGGGAGTGAGGTTGAAAGGGTTGATCAGTCTTTTTTCACTTTTTTTTTTTTTTTTTGGTGGGGGTGGCTGGCTGGTCTGGGGATCTGAACCCTTGACCTTGGTGTTACAACACTGCATTCTAACAACGTGGGCTAACCAGCCAGCCCAGGGTTTGTCAGTCTTAATCTCAGAGATTAACAATAATAATTCATCTTTTATTTGTCAGGCACTTTTTATTTACCAAGTATTTTGCTGCCATTCTCTTGTTTTGGTCTCACAGCATTAAATGAGGACATCTAATGGAATGCGGAACTGAGTTTCAGAGAGGTTAAGCAACTTGCCCAAAGTCACACAGCCTTAGAGAGGACATCTCCTGGGAGGAGAGGAGTGGAAGGCAAATTGGCACCTTGAAGATGCAGTCAAGATCTCAGAGTTCATGGGAAGCACATTGTGGAGTAGAAGTGGCATTTTCTTTTGTCTGAATTCCTCTCTTTGTGCTTGGTTATGTGGGGGTAGGAGGAGAGAGACAGAGAGGGAGATAGAGAGCAGTGATTCCATGATCCGATGACATTGCCATGCCCTTCAGTGGGCATATAAACATGAACATATGAGGAGCTGG